CCCCCCACCGACGACCCTGCGTGTCACTCACAGAATCACTACAGTACAACCAGGGGCACTAGCCACGTTGTTATTATTATTATTATGATTATTATTATATATAATAATAATAATGGTAGAGAGATTGTTTGAAAGTTTGTGTATGAATCCATTGAAAGCAAGCCTGGTAATGAACAGGTTTGTGTTTAGTGATTTTCTATCACTGATGGCTGTTATTAGGTGATCTGTGTCCCTCGTACTGAATCCTGTAGCTCGTATACACAGAGGATTTTATGTTCTGGGAACGCATTTCTTAAGGCGATGGTGATCACTTGACCTGAAGTCTGTGAATCTTTTATATTTTGAAGCATTTATACAAATACCTTTAAGCGACTATACATACAGCGTTTCATTTAGATACTGTAATTAATTTAGAATAAAATTAAACATAAATACGTGACACATTAAGATTTTAGACTAACTTTCGAGGTGAGTCTCAGGCATTTTATGATGCCTTTTTATGAAATACACTCTCGTAACCTGAAACAAATCACCCAAAGGTCCAAAGACAGGTAATCGAGGAGCATGGAGACAGAAGTGACGACTTCATTGAGGTCTGCAAGCGGCACGAGATTCCCTCAGAATTGGGACCTGCGGTCTGTATGGTTACGAGTTCAGCAAACAGAGGCCGGTTCAAAGTGGTTTTGCTCCACTGCAGGCAAGGGTCACCTTTCAGTGTCTGACGTAACGAAGGGTAACAACGGAAGATGCACTGAGTCAGAGGGGTGACGGGCTGGCAGAAGTGAAGGGCCAGACATGTCATATGTATACATGCATAACTGCATCAGTCTTTGTTTACATGGCACTATGATCCCAGAGTGAGTTCATATTTCAATCAATCGATCTTCCATATATCTGTGAATTTACCATAAACCGGATGATCGTGTTCTTTTTCATTTTATTTAGTTTATACAATTTTTGCAATTAATCAGTCTCCCACAATATTAATCTATTCCTGCGGCACAACACCCGCAAAGCTGGAACACCCATTTGCAGTGTTTTCATTAAGACGTGGGGATCTGTGATTAAGAATTATCCACCTAATTATCACTAAATTAATTATAAATACAAAGCTTGGGGCTTAACTGGTACAGAACTTGACTCTCAGAAGAAAATTGCTCCATCCGATGATCTTTCACAAGGACACTGGCTGTGGTGAATCATGGTGAGGTACCTTCAGCACCAGGAATCTAGGTACTGCGATGCGGCGTACATTTTTCAGGTTGATTAGTGATTTTTCAAGTTGATTCACAGTGCAGTGTGAATGAAAAAGAGGTCTGTATGTTAATATTGGCATTTAAAATATCCTGGCAAAAACACAGATTCAAGTAGATGGTTGGATAGATTAAATAATGGAAAGCTGGATTCCAGGTACAGATGACTATAGAAGAACAGGGCTGGATTGCACATTCTTGTAAGTGTGCTCTTCATACAGCCCTGTAATAATAAATACTTTCTTCCCAGAATACATACAGTGCTGTTAAGTTCAATATCTCCAGGAAAGAGGAAGCCCCACTGTGATTCTATAGCTCAGTCATTCACATATACCCATTATAATAGGCTGAAAAAAGGCTTTCTGGATGTAGTGAGGGAAATGTATGCTTTACTCTTCTTTAGTCAGCTGTCTGTTAGCAAAATGTTCCTGTCATAAATTATTCATACGATGCCACTGAGCTAATGCTTCAACTGCAGAAATGTGGGGGAACACATTGTAAAGAGTGGTGCACACTGGTGTGAGACACGTGCGGGGAGTGAGCAGGGCAAGACAAATAGGTGTTCGCACTCAGTACGGTGAGCTTGAGAAGTATCCACTGGTGGATGAATGAATGAATGAATGAATGAATGAATAGGACAAGTAAACAAAGGCAGAGCTGCAGACTTGGTAAGCAGGCAGTGTGTCTGGGGAGAAAAGCCTAACAGTGCCTTCCCTTATGCCCACAGATAATCTGCTGACTTCTCACTATTCTCCAGGACATTACTAGGGTGGGATGCTTAGAGTGACGCTTCTGCGGGCGCAATATTGATTTTAAGCCCGTACGTTAATTCATCATCGCCGACGCGACTTCGCATTAAATTTTAATATGTGTGCTGTGCGGTAACCCTGTGTCATTTTTGTAACTGAACTGGTACATTAAAGAGGGAAAAAGGCCCATCCATTAAAGTTAAACAAAATTCCCTAGGTATGAACTAATGTAAAAGTGAGCAATGTGAAGCAGTGCCGGAATAACATTGGTTCAGGTCTATTGCGAAGGTGGAACACAGTGCCGCGTCCTTACTGGAGAGGATGCAGCGGCTGGATCTAATGTCCGAGATGAACCAGCATTCATCTTCAGCAGGTCCCTGATCCTGTCCCTAATGGGGCAAAGAGGGCATTACACTACATGTCTTTCTAGAGGTTAATGACATAAGGTTGCAGGCAAGGAGTTATAGTGTCAGGATTGACTACGATTTGGACAAAAGTCAGGAGAAGGGTTGGATCTCCAAGCATCAGCCTGGACCTCCAAAAATCAGCCTGGACCTCCAAAAGTCAACCTGGACCTCCAAACATCATCTTGGACCTCCAAACATCAACCTGGACCTCTAAACATCAGCCTGGACCTCCAAACATCAGCCTGGACCTCCAAACATCAGACTGGACCTCCGGCATCAGCTTGGGCCTCCGGCATCAGCTTGGGCCTCCGGCATCAGCTTGGGCCTCCAAACATCAGCCTGGATCTTCAGACATCAGCCTGGATCTCCAAGCATCAGCCTGGACCTTCAGACATCAGCTTGGACCTTCAGACATCAGCCTGGACCTATAGCATCAGCCTGGACTTCAGGGATCAGCCTGGACCTCCAAATCCTTTCACCTCACAGTGCTCAAGCAGATAATTACAAACCCACACCAGTTACAAACACCAGTGTTAAAAAGTGTCTGATTTGCTGAACTTTGCATTTTTTCTGGCTTGAGGTCAAGCAATTACAGGCATCCTTTGGTAAAATAAAACTGCTATAAATCAGGATGAATACACAATGCTTTATCCCTTTCCTTATTACCCACCACATATTGATTTCCATGTATATTTAAGCCTTGGGGTTCCCTAAGAGCTGTCATGTGTGTTTTTAGATGAGGAGAGTGCTGGAGGTGAGGTCAGACCCGTTGGCAAATAGTAAACATTTTAATGCACAAACTGGGCCTATATGAATCCTAATTTACATTTACACAACCCATCAATTACCCCTCTCATGCTTGGGGTTAGATGCACGGCAGGGATTTGCAGTCCTGAATACGGATTAACTTGTGTTTAAAAAAAAAAAAATCCAAACAAGATAAGCATTTTAACACACATTTTTTCCTTTTTTAAAAATCTGCTACATAACATGGGAACTCAGTTGCATAAACCCTAATTTACAAAGTGAAAATGTACAGCCAAGCTTTAACATATTTCTTACCCGTGAACAGCTATAGCACTTCAGCTAATTTGATAAATTAAGTCAGCAGATTTTGTGCGTAATGCCTTACAAAATGTTCAATGCCGGCTTAATTATTTTTTTAACTTTATACATTTTAACTTTACTATTGGTTCCGTAGTGTTTACATGTTGTGTGTATGGTCATGTATATATTATATTATGGAAACCAAATGTCTCCACAATGTGATAAACACCTAATATTTTATCTTTGTGGGGACATTATAAAAATCTGTGAATGCAATCAAAAAATGTAAAAAAAAAAAAAGTTTTGTTTACCTACTTCTAGATAAGGTTAGGGCTGGGTAGGGGATAAGGGTGTCATTGTTGGGATTAGGGTTAAAGCCATAGAAATGACTGGAGAGTCCCCACAAAGATATAGATACCTAATGTGTGTGTGTGTGTGCGTGTGCGTGTGTGTGTGTGCGTGTGTGTGTGTGTGCGCGCGCACGTGCATGTGTGTGTGTGTGTGTGTGCGCACGCGCGCACTTTTAATATACGAGTGTGTCCTGTTTCCTGACATAGGTTCCAGGTTAACCCTGTGACCCTGCAGCAGACAAGCTGGTATGGAAGATGGATAGATGGATGGATGGGTAGATTATCCGTCTGTGCAGACAGTGTAATGTAAGGAACTGAGCTGTCAGCTGAGGAGGCCGGTTGATGGTTACGGAATGGCAGCGTACGCCTGGGAAGTTACCCCAGAGGCAAGTCCGCTAGTCCGTCACTGGAAGGCAGTCTGTGTGACAGAGCTTCCTTTGAAGTTCACTAACGCACCACACAGTTACTCTCACCTAACCCATTCCAGGCTACTCTCCCCCAGGGTCTGCGGGTCAAGAAGGATCGATCGTAGCCTATAACAATCTCCCACCCAGTGATTAAGAGCGGCGTCAAGCTCAGCTGCTAAGTGATGGATCTCTTGATTTAATTGAGGGATTGTGGGGAACAACGGATGCTTGGGTGGTGGAGGGCTGGGGGTGGGGGGTGCGATTCTATTAAGTCCAATGCCAAAAACATTAAGATGCATCGACCCGCACCGAGTCGCGTCAGTACCGGTCGCGGCTTCCTTCCACTTCTCACATCCTGTGAGACAGACAAACTCTCCGCCTGTCACGATCTCTGTATCAGTGACAGACCTAGAGAACGACGTCAGGTTCTGCTCCTCAACAAAGGAGGGAAATGGGTCTGTTAGGAACGACTGCCATCAAAAACCAGGATACTGCCCCGATAATTGAAGTGAGCTTCGGCACTGTGACTTGAACCCTTGTGTGTTGAAATTAATTTTGCCCCATTGATTTAGTGTGTGAAGCCTTAGAAATGGGCTTCCTAGAGCATCGTTTCCACAGCGAGGTGTTACTGGATGACTGCTGGTTCGATTTCACTGTTGCTTGAACTGTGTGTTGCCACCACATCTTGTCTGATGCTATAAGTTTCCTGGAAATTAGCCCGAATTTTGTCTGCCAGCAGGGGGCCCCGCTAGAGTGTAGGATGATATCCATATGTACAGTTTAATGTGGTTTTCATTGTGTGCCAAAGAAATAATTCCCTTAAACCCTAAAAACTGACACTGCCGTATTTCTTATTTAATGAAAGATATTTTTTTTTGTCTTCTGTTTAAAATCCATGACTGTAAATTTATTGTGAGAAAACTAATTTAATATGTGGAAATTTATACTGAGATCCCCTAAATGCCTTGCCAGGAGTTATTAATGACTTTTCAGAAAGATTATTTAAATTATTTAAGTGTGAAACTGTGAAAATGATTTTTTAATTGATTTATTGCCTTTCTTGCATCCCAGAAATTGGCAAACTATTATTCAATCAAATTGTACTTCAGAGTTTAGACAACCGAGGTCAGTATTCTTGATGCTGCAGCGTGTTAGTATGCGACTGGTTAACAGTGTGGCACCTAGACAAAATTCAGGCTGTTTGCTGACACCGTATCTGCAGTGATGGCATAAGGCGGGACTGCGGTGGCATCTTCGTTCTTCACCAGCATTCCATCTGTCTATCCATCCTTCATGCCCACTTATCGATCACAGGGCCATGAGGGACGAGACCGGGGACATCCGGACGGGACACGAGTCCATCACTGCACTCACACTCACGCGCGCAGTCACACGCTAGGGACACTAATCACACTAATCACTGCGTGCTTTGGACAATGTGGTGGGGAACTGCAGAAACAGAACAAGTCAGACACCCGCAGCACAAAGTCTGAGGCAACCATGCTACTTTTCATTCATTATTAACTTATAAAATTCACAAATTCACCTGCTCTGCATGCAAGCTTTATCCAGTGAACTGACACCTTACCGGTTTAAGCATTTTTATAATCATTCATTTCAGCATGTTTCAATGTCCTTGTACCAGAAAACTGCCAAGTGAGAGTGTAACATGAAGGGGCATTTATGTTAGGTGCTGCTGGATTTAATTATCTTGTGTTATTGTGGTTTCATAACTAAATCCATCAGGGAGCTGTTAGCCGTCCTCCATTTTGCCATTTTATTTTTTTGCCATTTCAATAAAAGAATCTGCGCCTTTATTTCAACAGCTAAACAACATGTAATTCTCGCATCACTGCCTTCCGCAAAAATGTCTTTTACTGCTGCTGTCATGGTCCAGGCGCATAAATGGGGCTATTTTAATTGCTCGTATCAGATAGCAGACTAAGAAAACCGTTTAGTTACAGTCATAAGCCAAGATATTCAATATTCGTTCATTAATGGGCCGCGTCATTCTACATAAAAAGCACTCTGATGACCGCTTGTTAAGATCGGGCCTGATGCAGAAGGGGCAGCCTAGTACCGTACATACAAAGCGTGCTAAAAAGGCCTAATACCGTACATACAAAGTGTGCTAAAAAGGCCTAATACCGTACATACAAAGTGTGCTAAAATGGCCTAGTACCGTACATACAAAGTGTGGTAAAATGGCCTAGTACTGTACATACAAAGTGTGCTAAAAAGCAATAAAATTTCAGGCTTGTCATAGTTTAAGTAGCTGGGTTGTAGACCTGAGTGACAAAATAAAAGCAGAAATCCCATTTTAAATTTCAAGATTCAGAAATCCTCATCACCTCCAATCTCTATAACCCTTCGTACGGCCCTGAGGCTGAGAATGCTCGTTTTACTTCAGCAGGAACCTTAGGAAAGTTTAACAGTTCCTGGAAAGTTCCCTGTGTTTCCAATTAAAGCTGGATGCCCCCTTTCTCTTTCTCTCTCTCTAACCCCCCCCCCCAAGCCTGACATGTTAAGAGTCGTGCTGGGTTGAGCTAATGTTCTGCCTGGATACGAGACAGTCAGTGTCTTTGCACTTTCCTGTTGTTGATCTCCACCTCATTGGAGCTGCACAAACACATACAGGAGGGTAATAAGAAATGTCTTTTATGGTAATATTGCTCACCAGTAGAAGATGTGGGGTGCAGACCATTAGAGGCAAATGAAATGTATGTAATTATGCTGATGCCGGGTAATGAAACCTTTAGACTCCGTCTGTTCCTTTTATAGAACCCTCCATGCACACTAATATTATTAATAATATTGCAAGAACAGTTTGTGTCACATGATGTTGCTTGCTGTGTGCAAAATATAAAGCTAATATCCATCTTGCTTAGTCGTGGGGGGTGTGGGGGGGGGGGGGGGGGAGCCTGTCCCAGGCAGTACAAGACTGGGGGACACCTTAGCAACACAAACGAAACATTCCTCAAGAAACCGAGGGCACAATTGTGTTCATTTCATACAACTTCCTTGAGTCCAATTACAAATTTTATATCATTTGCAATATCTGGTCATTTTATGCCAAAAGCGATCCACTTGTACAGGACTGTAGTGAATGTAAATGTGGCTGTGTGGAGGTGCTGGGTAAGGCAGCATTACACACCCTATACCTACTGAAAGGCAGCGTTACACACCCTATACCTACTGAAAGGCAGCATTACACGCTATACCTATTGAAAGGCAACATTGCACACACTATACCTTCTGAAAGGCAGCGTTAAACACCCTATACCTACTGAAAGGCAGTATTACACACACTATACCTACTGAAAGGCAGTATTACACACACTATACCTACTGAAAGGCAGTATTACACACAGTATACCTACTGAAAGGCAGCATTACACACACTATACCTACTGAAAAGAAGCATTACACACTATATCTACTGAAAGACAGCAATACACACGCTATACCTACTGAAAGGCAGCATTACACACACTATACCTACTGAAAAGAAGCATTACACACTATACCTACTGAAAGGCAGCATTACACACACTATACCTACTGAAAAGAAGCATTACACACTATATCTACTGAAAGACAGCAATACACACACTATACCTACTGAAAAGA